TTCTTATACTTTATTATCTTGGACAATATTTTAAACACACACACACACACACACATATACATAAACGCGAAAACACATATACTATACTTATAAAGGCTTATATAGATTTATGTATACCGATACACATCATCTAGTGTGCGGTTGGCACGCTAAAATACTCACGGACTCACGGTGTCCGTTTATTAGGTTTCCAGGTTAGTATTATATTTTAAATTTCGTCTACCTAACTTAAGATTTACTCAAGTTATAGGCTTTAGAGACACAGAAGTTGAGTATAACCTTTTCCTTTAATTGGAAATCGCTAAAAAGTTGAACAAAAAACTAGAAATTTGATAATATACTTATATATGAAATTTCGTCAACCTAACTAAAACAGTAGGCCTACTCAACTTGACTCGTGTTTGCTTACAAATATACGAACATGTTTAAAAAACTAAGATTTTCCGGATCCGGATGTTTATAAAATGTCGAAATTTGTCTAAGTCTGGATTTAAAATTTTAACACAATTTACCATGTATCCTTTATATTCCGTATATAATACAGTAGTTTAGGGAGGCATAAAACGGCAAAAAAATCAAAATTTCATTTATATTTTGTGCACGAGTACAATACTTTCTTTAAACGAGGAAGTTAAAAAGAAAACAAATAACCGACTATGCATCAAACTGTCGGAATGTTGTGAGTTAATAATACACACCTAATTATTATAAACACGTAATTATCTACGACAATTAAGCTTATAAGCCCTAACACATGTATAACCTGATCCTGGACTACGTGAATATAGGCTAAACGAACAGGTATACACATATGATGACCCCCACCCCTCCCGATGTGGACGTCCACATAAAGTACACTTTTTAAACCTTTCCGCTACTTTACTACTTAAATAACAAGGTATTAATCAGTTTCTTCCAGGCATCTCTTCAGGGGGGCGAAGTGACCCCCCCCCCCCCGAAAAATTTTTACCGCCCCCGCCCCTAACGAACTGAAATTTATATAATTTATATAGAAAATATATACTTTTAACATTGTCCGACCCCCCAAAGAAAGTCTACCGCCCCCCCCCCCCTTGAAAATTTCAACTTCCCCCACGGAGAAAAAAGTCTGGAAGAAACACTGGTATTAATATATTCTGTAATGTTTATTATTAGGCCTGAGTAGAAGCTAGAGTGTAGAGAAAAAATTAGTATGACTTAAACATCAAAAATACATTATTTTTTAAAGTTATCTTCCACATTGCCAACCAAATTTCATGCAAATTATCAATTTGGGAGGGGGGGGGGTGTTAAAATTGGTATTCTCCATACTCGTGTGTATTTTCATAATTGACATTAGCATTTATTAGATTAAAAAGTCGCAAGAATGTAAGCATTTCAATGTTAAATGTAAAATGTGGACGTCAGCATGGACCCGAACCTCCCCCCCCCCCTGTCAACACGCAGACCCCCCCCTCCTCCCTGTGGACGTGATAAATGGATGACCCTTTGTTAATCACGCGAAACAATGAGCAAGCAACCCCAATACCTTGCACTAGGCGCTAGTAAAGATAAAATACCGTTCTGTACCATAAAATAAAAGACAATGTGAAACCACTGCAGAAGTTATAGTTTGCTAACATCAAGTTCAAGTTCAAGTACTTGTAAAATCGTTTATCTAACCATAAATCTAGCCCAAGCCTTAGCTAAACACCTAATTATACTTTTCGTCCCAACCTTACAATAACTATATTAACACCGGCTTTAAAAAATCCCCGGATATTTATGACCTGTATTAATAAACGAGGTCTGCGTGACGTCATAACGGGCACATTTACTTTGGACCCATAAAGCTTGCTTATAAATAGGCCCCCAACACCTGCCATTGTAAATAATGCAGTAGGTGTACAAAGGTAAGGTGTTTTGGCAACTAGATTTAGGCCCAGTTATTCATATTGTAGCAAATTCTTCACATGTGGTTCACAGTTTTTGGCTTAAGAAAGCGTTTCTTGTGGTTTTTTATTACTTAAATATGTTTTAAGAACTAACCTATGATTTGTTTCATAACATAAATAGAATAATGAAAACGGGCTTCAAAAAACAAGTTCCCTCATACAATTTGTTTTGAATCTAGACAAGTTTTTTTTTTTAATATCTGCTTAATAAGTAAAATCTTTACATAGATTTTTTTTCCGCTACTACATAGGCCTATTAGTTCCACGGAGAGAGTATTGCATTTGGCTTAGCCTAATGTACATTTAAGGCTGACATAGCACTTATTAAAACTAGGTTACAATGGCTATAGACCTACCTGTGCTTACTCATTTGCCTTAAATAATTAGCATAATACATTTACAGAGATGTCTGCTATACAATATAGTAATATTTCTTGTGTAAACATTATTTACGTACATCTTTTCATTATTAATTATTGTCCTTAATTTATTTTTAAAAATATATCCAGAAACACAATTATTCAGATAAAATAAGCTTAATAATAAAACCCCTACTAAAATTAGGCTAACCTGAACGTATAGATACAGATAACCGAATGCATTTATTAGCTTGTGAATTATTCCTATCGCGTGAAGTGACTATCTCTACCATATTTAATTAGGCAGCTGTCAGTATAATTATCCTTTGAGTCTGGGTCAACTGTATGCCCTACTCAAAGTAATCAAAATTATAAAGCTAGCCATATGCGACCAAATGCCAGCATTCATTAACCCCTTAACGCCGACTGTCACACAAAACTGGATGGTTAGCTGGGGGTAAGTTTGGCTTTATGTAACCAATTTTAGATTGCTTTGTGTATTACTGTTAAAAAGCAAGGTATGTAGGAAATTAAACGCACCTCAATCATAGGGGAAGTGGCTCGTACAAGGTTGAACTGTGTCCAAGAGACCCGAGAAATTTTAAAAGCCCCCCCCCCTCCTCCCCGACCCCAAATTAAAATTCAAGTATGCATATTTTCTCTAACAAAGCCTGCATTTTACGTCTTGATATGAAAGCATGGTACAATACCAATAATTTTTTTTAAATCAATTCTAATGAGACTTTTACGTCAACGTTACTGTGGACCAACTGATATTATTTTCCTGGGAGCCCTCCGGGATTTTTACCACCCCTTTGGCTTGTAACGTGCGCCATTGTATGGTACATAATACCACCTCTCTAACTCCAAAATTCAATGTAAAGAAAGTGGGTTTTACCATCCGCCACTGTAGGAGAAATGGATCTTACCATCCATTAGAAGAGGGAAACTGGGTTTTGCCACCCGTTACAAGATGGACATTTGGTTTTAGCAACCTTTAGAAGATGGAAAATTAAGTATACCACTCGTTAGAAGATGGATAATGGGTTTTAGTAACCGTTAAAAGATGGAAAATTGGTTTTACCACCCGTTAGCTAAGGGAAAATGGGTCTTTCCACCAGCCATCCTCAACAGCAGTGGCGTAGCCAGGATCGTCTCAAGGGGGGGGTTCCAATTTTTACCCGGGGACAAACTTTCGATTTGCACCCCCCCCTCAAACTTTCGATTTGCACCCCCCCCCTCAAACTTTCGATTTGCACCCCCCCCCCTCAAACTTTCGATTTGCACCCCCCCCCCTCAAACTTTCGATTTGCACCCCCCCCCCCTCAAACTTTCGATTTGCACCCCCCCCCCCCCCCCCCTCAAACTTTCGATTTGCACCCCCCCCCCCTCAAACTTTCGATTTGCACCCCCCCTCATACTTTTTATATATACCGAGGGGTCTATGGGGGGGGTTATGACCCCCCCTAACCCCCCCCTGCCTACGCCACTGCTCAACAGTATCAATAAGTTTAAAGTCTATTGTATTAGGTTCAGCTCTCATGGGCTTATCTGTATCATAAGTACCTAGACAAGCGTTCACCAATTACCCCCGTGCTTGACCGATGAATACAAATAAAACTAAACCCAGTATTTGCCCCGATTGATCACGTGATTAATCTTATCTCGTTATAAGTAAAATTTGAATGCTAAATTTTAACACAAGATAAATATGACATTTTGGAGAATCAGGATAATAGGCCTACTTATTTTGTTGCGATACATTGTTTTTGATAAATTAAAGTTGAACACCAACGTTAAAAAAGATGCAACACAACAAACGATTATACGGAAGTATTTCGGTGAATAGTGTGGCAGTCGTATGTAACTTATCCTAAATCCTAGCAATCTTTATTCTTAAATTTAAAATGTTTTTAAAAAAAATGTACCTTGTAAATCCGCAACTGTTAGAATGTAAGCCTGCTTGACTAGTAATATTAAAAAGGCAATGGGTTTCAAGGTGTTATATATATATATATATATATATATATATATATATATATATATATATATATATATATATATATATATATATATATATATATCAGTCTATTTGAAAAAACAGTTGTGTCCACACACACACCCTAACACCCCCCTCCCCCCCCCCCCCCTCGTATGAACATTCTCTTGCCTATGTCACTGGCTGTGACTAAGTCTATATCCTCTGCCCAGCCGCTGTAATCCAATACAACATCCGTCAACATTGTAGGCCTATGTCAGTAGCTAAACCACTAAAAAGTTAAACGTATTTACAGTGTACATCGTAGTTCAATTTTTAACTCTTTTATCAATAAATCTTAATAGCAATAAAAATATGTTTTCCTTCATTTCCATATGTGGGCCTTTGTTTGAAGTAATAAATATGTATTTATGGGCCTACTTGTTAGGCTTATAAATATATTAACTTTGGCTTATAGATTCTAGTTTAGAATGTATAGCAAGTTTACTTGTTTTGAAATATAATATTTTATTTCTTTGACGGATGATTTAATGCATTCATTATTACTCTCTAGAACGTAAATAAAAACATGGTGCGATTTAGATGATGGAAGTTACAGTTACATGAATCAGCTGCCTGCTACAGGAATTGGATAGCCAAATAAAAAGAAAGAAGCAGAAGAATTAACAGCTGACTAGCTTTGTTTTGGGTTTTTTTTCTAATTTCCCGTGAAAACCTAAATATGCCAGAACTGTTAATGGAAGGAGGTGTGATGTAAGTTTTAAAATTTTTTTTTTTTTTTTACTGTCGCGTTTTTATATTTTTAATTTTTTAAACATTTTTTTTTGTTTGGGGGGGGGGGGGGGGCACTGGTTAAAATAACCCTAATATATAATTTTTATATATTAGAGATATTTGTTTTATTTCGTCCGAGAGATTACTGAATCACTGTGGATTCACCAAGAATAAAGAAACAAAACATATAATGCAAAACAGCCTCATGTGTTATGGAAGAAAGTAAAGTAAAGTTTCCCTTTCAAACCTGACGGTTCATGCCACAAGTGAAGTAGAGATCATTTGTTTCTGTGACCTCGGCATATGTAGAGATAGTGTGGTCAGCACTATGCCCAGCCGCCTTTACTTTCCCTAACGTGAGTTAGGTATCCATCAGAGTTGGGTGGACTCAGGGACGGTCTACTGACGAACCCGGATTCGAACTCGAGACTTACGGGTTAGCAGTCCAGCTCTCTACCGCTAGACCACTACTATGGAAGAACCATATCTAGAACGTTAATTCCGAAATACCTCCCTAGCTGATCAAAAGATCTAAGCTGAGACTCAACTTTCTCGGACATCGATTTTTTTTTTCAATCGTTGACAATAAGACGAATGTTTGTAAGGCGGTTCCTTATTTTGGTTATTTTAATATACAGAAATAGATGAACCACATTATTAGCATTTGATTTTAACTCTCGTTTCGTTCCACAATTTGGTGATGTTAGATTTTAGCTCATTCCCCCCCCCCCACGTCCACCGACCCAGCCTCCATCCCCCCCCCCCCCCCAAAAGAAAAAAAAATCAAAAGAAAATATATAGGTAACCCACCATGCCAGGAATTAAGTCCGCGCTTCCCCTCAAAAGTTTCAAGCGGTCCCATCCCCATTTAAAAAATGTCTGAAAGAAACACTGTTAGATTTAACACTATTCAAAGCAAAATATAGCATCCACTTATTTGCCACACACAGTTAAATGATTAGAAAGGTAATTACATGGCAACCGATATTGATTGATTTCAACTAAAAGTCTAATTTACTAAACGGACTTTTTATCGTAATATCAATTTAAAGTAGTTCTGGTTTAAAGTCGCTTTTAATAACTTTTATAATATATGAAAAAAAACTAGTAGGTGTAAAATTTAAAAGAATAACGAATTCATTTTTTAATGATTTCAGACCTCTCGCCTACAAGAAAAACAATGATGCATTTATGCTTACTACTATTCCAAATTCTAAAACAGGTAAGCGTTATAATAACTAAACATTGTATTTTAAAGTTAATTTTTTCGAAGTTTATTAAATCTAATAGTAGCCTACTATTAGATTTAAACTATTAGTAGGCCTATAATATATAATAGAGTAATAAACAAAACCACTGATCAATAATAAAAATAAGCTTAGTAATAATATTGTCCCTATTTTAATCTAATAAATCTAGGCCTTCTGCTATTGCAGCTATAGGCCTACGTGTAGGCCTTACACATAGGTATCCTATGTAAATCACTTTAACCTGACCTATTCGAATCTGTTTGAACAGTAAAAATAATAGTTATATTCCAGGCGTTTAGATTACAATTTATTTTAAATGTAGATATAAAACCGTGATTATAAAGATTTTTTTTTTCATCATCATGGTAAAACAACTTGATCTAGACTATAGATTTAGATTCTAGCTAGCCTTGATAAATATTTTGAAGAAAAAAAAAAGGTCAACTCAAAAATCTGGTTACCCTCTCTCAGGTCAGAGGTCAGAGGACAAATCTATTTTATGTAACACAACAAACGCATCGCTGTGCGTGTCGTGTAGAGACAGTGTAGTCACAAGTCCCTAGATTTCTAGACTAGATCTAGATCTAGATCTATTCTAGTTTGTTTTTGAAGTCTAATATAGTATGACATACTAGTAGATCTAGATCTAGTATGTAGACTGTGTAGATTTTTAGATCTACATAGGACTGAAGTTAGGAGGTAACAAGCTTTGTAGTTGTACTATTGTCACTTTGTCCTGTTGTACTTGTACAACTGGCTTACAGTCTGCCTACAGTCCAGTGGCCGCTTTTTAACTTATTAATCTTAAGTTTTTATTAAAATAACATTAAAATATATTTTAATATATAGGCCTACCTAAATATTAATATATTATTAGCCTAAGCGCCTAATAATAATAATTAGGCCCTAAAAAAGGCCTAATATGGGCCTATTACAGATATATTAGGATTATTAAATTATTAGGCATTAGTGATTAGGCCTACTGATTTAGATCTAGATCTAGGGCTTATTTAATCTAATATTTATTAATATTTTTGTAGGCCTATGTGACAAATAAATATATTCTATATTCAAATATTGTAGATCTAGATCTAGTATTTTTCCAAAAAGTTCTAGATCTAGCTAGAGTTCGAATCTGGGTTCAAATCAGTGGAACATCCCGGAGTCCTCCAGCTCTGTTGGGTACCTAACTTACATTTACATTAGCCGTTAGCCTAATGATTAGGGAAACAAAGGTGGCTGGGCATAGTGCTGACCACGCTGAGTCAATGAATCAGATGAACTCAATTTTATCTGCTCCATGTCGACCATGTATCTTGGGCACAAAAGGATTAAGAAGAAGTTACCTTAAGTGTATGTTAATCACCCTTTGTAATGGTGACCTAGAACACACCTCAGTGGCCGTTTAGGTGTCGTGGAGCACCGTTTAGGACTTCGTGGGGCGCTATTAGGAGCCACCAGTGTCACTACTGCGGGGGCGCAGGGTACCGCTTGTGGTTAGGTTTAATTATCAATTGTCCTGTGCTATCAGATGCTCATGGGCTGCTAAATTGCACCCAACTGCCGGAGCACTGGTCCTGCTGATTTGAATTTTCTCGAATCGCAGAAACTATTTTGCAAATTAAAGCAATATTCTAGACAACTTCTTAAAGTTTCATGGCAATCAGATGAAAGGTGTAGCAATGCTTAAAAGGCATATATATATAAGCGATTTAGTCATTAGCTAGATTTTAAAATATGACTTATGATTTTACTGCAAGTTATCTTCCCTTTGCCCCATTTCTACAGTGTAGAGTACTCATATTTAATACTTAAAATGTGTAGGCTACCCTTGTTTTAGTGAGTGATAAAAGATTTATTACATTACAGGCCTATGCCGAGTTTTTTTGTGTGCATCTCTTCGCCCATAACATAACCAACTCCAAACAAACTTATGGAATAGAATGTATATAAACAAAATATATTATTACTAGTGTTGTGGCCCTCCTCCCTCACCCAACCCTTGTAATTTTGGTCAGCCACCTAAAGTGTAAAGTTACTCTACCACGCACCCCCCCCCCCCCCCTACTCTTCACCTGGAGAAAAGTGTCTGAAAGAAACACTGGACCAATATAATTATAGTATATTTATAAAGATGCCTTGGCATGTGCTATTAGAACTGACCGGTGTATTTCAGGGGTCGGCAACCTGCGGCTCGCGAGCCGCATGCGGCTCTTTTGATATCAAGATGCGGCTCTCCAGCTCCTTGAACAAATACTAATAATCTTAATAAAAAAATAAAATATTTGAAATTAAAAAAATGTTAGTGGCTCTTTAAAACAAGAGAAATTTTGAAAATTGTAACTTTTGGCTCTTCTGCTTCAAAAGGTTGCCGACCCCTGGTGTATTTATATCAAAACATCATTGGGTTAGGACAAACATTAGTAGAGATAGGATCTATTAATTTTTGAGTATAGTTAGTCCATTTGTATAGAAAAATCATGATGTTCTTGTGGAATTTCTGATCAATAGTTGATCCATCTGCTTACTTAAACATAAATTTTTTTTTCAAATGCCTGACATGTATATTTAATAAGCAATTACATTTTATTAGGCATATTCAGTTTTTTTTTTTATTTTTGGTTTTCTATTATTTTTTGTTTCAAAATTCTCATCAAATTACAATGAGTTACAGTAATATTAGCTTCTAATTTAGGGTAATATTTTATTATTAGGCTGCAGTTTTATTTATACCAACAAGTTAATATAGAAGCATCCAGTTGATAATAGTTATGACTCAATTAATTTAATTCACAGCCCTTGTAAGCCCAGGACTAGAAGTATTAATAAATATTTAATCTCATACCGTGTTTACACTTACGACAATGTTACTAGACTTGACCTACTACAGTGTATACTAAACATGTTACGAGTATATGGAACATCTTCTGAGTCGCAGGGCACAAAACCACGCCCCTTTTTGTGTTCTGGGTCAAGTTTTTGTCATCGCTCGCTGAGCGAAAACATTGGACATGTTCTGAATTTTCAGATGAGTGCGCATGCGTCAAAAGTAGTAAGCGCATCATAGGTCTCAGCTGATTGCAAAATTAAAATAGATTCTATAATGATTTTGAGTTTTTGAACACACGATTTCATAATTTATAATTTCTCTAGGCCCTGCTAAAATTTACATTTTTATAATTTTTTTTTATTTCTTTAATTAAATTCCAAACACGTTTTAATGAAATAATATCTAAGGCATTATAATTTTGCCTTAAAACCAGTTTAGGTATTAATTACGAAAATATTAATTAATTAAAAAATATAATTGAACTAAATTTATCTCCAATTTTTTCTTGACCAACATATTTTCAGTTTCCGTCTGACATGAATAAATCTTTATGCCCACCAGAATGTGGATCGTGGGATCACACATAATCAACTTACTATAAAAACAGGCAGATAAAAAAGTCATAGGCTAATTATTTAGGTTTAAAATGGGACATAATTAACATAAAGAAACGAATTGAGGGGGGGGTGTCATAGGCCCTACTCTAAAAACTACATCTACTTTTATTCTGAATAATAGACTCAGTATAGTGATAACACGATCACAATACGTTTAATGAACTTGACAGATGCAAGTTTTCGGAGAAATCGGACCTTTACTTTCAGCAAACAAATATTTAGCCCTGTTTATTGGAAGCTGTTTCTGAAGGATATAGACTAGCAATTAAAGAAGCTGGGGAAATGGCTACCATGGGGTTGGGGTGGGAAAGGGTGATTGTACTGCGGGATGGGAGGGAGGGGAAATAACAGGTGGGTATTATACACAGCATTATATTTATAAAAACTGTCTAGCTCCAGTAGCTGGCATAAAATTTATAAAATCTTGCATGCTCTCTAATTTTTAGATAATTCATTGTTGAATCGCAAGCACCGTGGCTACACCATTTTCCTTTAAAAAAAAAACAACTGTGTGCCCACTATCTTTTTTTTTACTTTGATTTCTCTTTATTTAATTATCCGGGCCTATATAGCAGACGCTCCGGGTCAAAGGTCATGCTCGTTTTATAAAATGTTCTATAACAATGTTCTAGTGTGAACGCTAAAGTATACATGTTCTGTGAACAAATTGTTTCAAGACAAATTTTATTTTGGCGGGCTTTGTGTTCCAGAAGTGTAAACGCGGTATCATGCTTAAAATTTTTGCTATGGGCATGATTTATCTCCCTGTTTACATACAGGGGTCAAATAGTGCTGTAATCAATGACTAACTCTCCTATCATTTTAGATAAATGAAGCTCTCACATAGTTTATTTAGCTATGCATCTGTACCTATACAATGTTTAACTTATCATTCACTTATGTGAAGTCAAAATATTTTTTCATTCATGATTAAAATTTCCTTTAAGGTAAACCTAAGTTTTTTTTCTTCAATAACCTGGCTTTTACTTACTTCATGTGAATGAATGACCATGGTATTAATAATTGCTAATACTAGATTATGAAAAATTTATTTTTGTAGGCGTAAAATATGGTAATCGTATACAAAACAATACAATTATTCAATGTTTAGCTGGGATGAAGCTAATGGTTGTAGTCAAAGGATCCAGGTGATAAAACTATCAGTGTAATTTTTTGCAAAAGAGCTGTTGTTAACCCATGCTAAGCCACTGTTGTGATCTAATATAAATAATCATGAAGTCGTCCCTTATTATAGCTATCTCTCTATCTCCTTTTTCGTTCTTACTTGCAGTTTTGTATGAGATGTCCTCCAACAAAGTATTACATTTTAGCATATTATTAGCCATTTCAGCCTTAATTTTTAAAAAAACTAACCTTTCTTGATTTGCTTCCATAGCATTTGTCTACTCAAGCACAGCCTGCAGGCAGCGGTTGTTTAATTTCGGAGTTTTGTCATAAATTGGTTACCATTTGGTCACGTCCATTATCTATGTTAAGTTTTGTTTCCAATCATTCAAATCTCACTGTACTTGGTTTCCCTCGATCACCCCTTTATGTTTTAGAATAGATTTTCCTCTACCTATTGAGAGTTAGTTTATACTGAGTATTTTGTGTTTTATCTTGCCTATGTGCATATTTTTCTGCTGTGTTAGTGTTTTTAAAATATGTTCTTTTCCCCCTAGGGGTAGGAGAAGTGTGTTGTTTCTTGTAAGTTGAAATAGACTACAATCTTTCCACAGCAAAATATTTAGCTTTTGTAGTTGTTGAGTTAAAATAAGGAAAAGCTATAACACTGGAGGATCAGTACCTTATTTAATTAAAGTTTTACAGGTTTAGGAATTAATTATATAATACAATTAAGGGTTAACAATTCAAACTAAGCTCAAACAGTATATTGCTTTATATATAAAGGGTAAAGTAAGACAAAGAGTAGTATCAGGAATGTTTGATTTAACAAAGAAATGTATTTTACAAAAACAAATATCATTGTTTATTATAATCCAATTTTATTTTCATGTATGTTAATGACTTTTAAAGCTGAGTTTTAAGTTGTGTACCTTAAATCATTTAAATACTTAAATGGGAAGTAACTGTTGCAATTCGTTTCCAGTTAAATTTAAAGTTGAGGTGGTGATTTTTGGTTTCGGTTTAGAGAAAAAGACGACACCATCAACCTAGGGGCCTTTGTATTTCTCCCTCAACAGGCTATTTATCTTGTTAGTATACTAATTTTAGTTCAGAAAGGTACACATTAAAGCAGCCACCTTTCATATCATGTAAATTTTCCGACATCAGTTAAAATTGTATCCCCACCAATATGATCAAACTAATGTCTTTTTATAATTTCAGAATGCCTTTAATTGAAAATTTTAAATTTTATAAATTCCCGAACACCGGGCAGCGCAGGGTATATGATGGTTAATGAGCACATAAGTCACGGCCTTTTACAAATAAATTTTACCTCAAATTCCAGTGCAAGGCCTGGCCGGCACAGCTAGTAGATATATACTTACACACATATATGTATAGAGAAAGAGAATGAGAGAGTAAAAGAGATATGTGTATAAGTAGATCTTAATATTGATTACAAATAGATACTGAAATCCAATACACATGCACATAATGTACTAAACCTTTGCTGTAATGAAAAGTTTACTCTTTGTTCATCTGTAAACTTTAAGGGCTGTTGTTTTTTTTGTTTGGATTTTGTTACAACAATACAGGTTAATGTTAACCCTAACATGTATGTGAGTTTAGTTTTCAAATAAAAAATTTAAATGTTAAAACAAATTGCTAAGGTAAATTTTAAAGATATTTTCAAACCATGTTTGAAACCTAAAACTAAAATGACCTGTACATACACCCTTACAAACTGATAAACATAAAACTACTTAATGTTTTCTTTACACACATCTAAATTTATTATTCATCTTTATTTCTTTGGACCCCTTGTAAAGCTTAGAAATTCAACCACACCTCTCCATCATACTTGGTTTTCTGCGATTCCTCAAAGTCGAGCCCTTGTCATTCTGGTTACCACTGCTTTGCTGACAGCTGATCTTTTCCAAGGTTTTTTTTTTTGACCTAACTACTTTCCTCTTTCCTTGGGGATTCCAGTCTAGTGCCGCTCTGGGGATGCTGCTATTTTGTTTAAGCACGGTGTGTCCAACCCATCCCCAATTGCGCCTATGTATTTCTAATTACTTCCCAATAGGGTGTAGGCTAATTTTTTTTTACATTTCGGCATTAATAATTTTTTTCATGCCGTCTGATGTTCAATATGCTGCAGGGGCATCCATTAATGAAAGTCTGAAGTTGAAATTTATTTAATGCTAGACTAAATAATTTGTTAAAATAAATTTTTTACTCCAAATATTTAAACCCAAGTCCAATTCGAGCCTATTCATGTCAAATATAAAATTTCAATCCAATCAGAATATATTACCAATTTAACCCTAGGAAGCTTGCTTTGATAATCACAATACATTAACACCTTCATCATTACACAATCTGACATAAATTTACACTAAAAATACAAATCTCACCAAACACTTATAAACCTAGACAAAACTTATATTTAAAATATATATATATATAAACAAAACTTAAAACAGTAAGTATTTTAAATATGTATGTTTGTATGTATATATAATTTTTAGCGCAATTTCCATACTGACAATTGCGATTATTAATTCGTTATTTCTGGATGGATGGATGTGTGTCCGCAGCTTTAAGTCGTATCTCCTCCTCAACGAAGCAATATCGAGGACTAGTTCCAAAAGCAAATATGTTAAGCAAGTTCTGAGGATGATTGTGAGCCAAAAAAAATTCCGGAATTCCTTCCTGGATTTCCCGGAAAAGCCAAAAAACCTCGAAAAAAATGCAGTTTTTGGCCCATATCTCGGCATCCAGACCACTTAGCGACTTGAAACATTTACCAATCGATTCTTGCCATAATTTAGAACAATATTGCCGAAGAAAGTTTTTAAAAATATCCTTTTGTTTGGTCACAAAAAATTAATTAAGGAAATTGCGCTTAAATTGTCACTAGACTTTTTATTAACTTGTTTATTGTTTGTTGATTACAGTAGACCAGGATGGGTCAGATGAAAAGCCCAAAGAGTTTTTTAAAAGAAAGTTGAAAGAAATGAAGGTCTCCTTGGGAAGCACCAAGGTGTTGGTGCATGTTTTGGTGTGTGTATTTGCTATTGCATCATGGGTAGACATAAACGGCACCTGGGCAGAGCTGCCGTTGCTGGTTATGAAAGCCAAAGAAGGATGGTTGCTACCATCTTACATCATTGTTCTAAGTCAGGTTGGTTTATAATATACACACCCAACTTTTAAAATAATCTCAAACTAAGATGTATATACATTTTTTTTTTCACTTAAGAAAACACAAACTTATTTAAAAACTATTCATGATAAAATTTAAAAAAAAAAGAACACATTACCCTTATGACATTTACAGAGTATTATACTTTTGGCCCATTTTGATATATATCTAGCCATTAAAAAACCTGTACAGTTTAGGTTTTGACTGCAGCTAGTATGTTATCTGCCTTCTAACCATGCATCTTAGCCCATAGAAATTGTTTACATTTTGTTTCCTTAACTGGTTTAACTTTCTCAAAATTAGAATTATTTGGTATTTTTTTATGAATAAGTCTTATTTTTTTTTTTTTAAATCTAAGTGTCATTTTTATATATATTTTTTTTCAAATAACCTTGATTATGCTAACTCTTTCAGATCGCCAACATAGGGCCCATAGCCTTTGTGCTGGTGTCATACTTTTCACCATGGATGAAACCAAGGCTCGAAAAAGTCACCTCGTTCATCATAATCCTCATCAGCTTTACCGCATGCTTCTTGCTGGCATTCTTCTGGGAGGAATCCTCCGTAGTTGGTGGGACAGAGCACAGCACAGCTTTCCTGACTCTGACGTTTTTCCTGGCGCTAGGGGACTGTACCAGCTCTGTGTCCTTCTACGCCTTCATGGCTCACCTGAAGAAGGAGTACATGGCATCACTATTTATAGGTTTGAGATCTTCTCAATTTAATTCGCTGTTTTTCTGAATCCAAGTTCTTAATCGTAAATCTAGGTCATGATAATGCTTGAGCGGCCATTTTTCGTAATATTTACTTCTTGTAGTTTTCTCGTTAAATTGATTTTGTATTTTATAGAATTTAAAAAAAAAACGGCATTATTTAACACTGCGAAATAACGTTCAGCTGCCTCATCTAAACATTTATGTCGCTGCATTATAAAATTAACCAAAATTAAAGTATTTATACTAAGACTAATTCGTTCCATGATTTTTGTAGAAAAATGGACGTACTTTTGTTTTTCTATGAATAAGAACTCATGAAAAGTAATTCTTATTATTAATTTTCCCGACAGAAGCGTAATTTTTGCCTGAAAAACTCAACTCTTTATATTATCTTCTTTAAAACTAAATAATTATATTTCTTCAATAAATAAATAATTCCTTAAAATTTGTATTCAATTACGATTAATTTTTATCAACATAGTGTGGGGTTTAAATTAACGGGTAAAAAGATATTGGTAATTTAGCCTCACGGGTACTGAAAAAAAAATGAGTGGAAAAAAAAATAATTCTGGTAAAACGTGAAAATAATTACGGGCTTAAAGAGTTAATGTTACTTGCAGTATGGTATTTATAGATAAGGTATATTTCTTGTGACCTATTATTTTAACCAAGCGATATAGAGGAGGTGATCCACTTCTCTTTTTAAAAAAAACAACTAATAACAAAAATATTAAAATATTACAACAGTTGAACTAAGTGTAAAGGGACCTGTTTATAGGTTTGAGATTGAGATCTTCCTACCAGAATATTGTCTACTTGTTGAATTTTTTTTGTTGTTGTATAATGCTACTTGCTGAATGGTGTTAACAGATAAGGTTTATATCTTGTGACATGTTTTTTTTAACTAAGTAATGTAGGGGAGGTAATCTACTTCTGCTTTATTAATATCTGGTGTCATTTTTTATTGAGCAGGACATTGAGTACTTGTTGACATTGTAATATTGTTGACATTAGTTGCAGAATGGTATTTACAGATAAGGTTTATTTCTTGTGTCAATTTTTACTGAGCAATGTAGGGGAGGTAGTCTACTTCTGTTTTGATAAGAAAGCTAATAACTAGTATTTTAAAGAATATTACAGTTGAATTCAGTATAATGAGACCTAAAATATTAGGCACATTATTTACAGAATGTCTGTTACAGATAAGGGTAATTTCTTGTGACATATTTTTTATTGTTGAACTTTTCACCTAAATGTTGCCTAAGTCATGTAGGGGAGGTAATCTACTTCTATTATGAAAAATACAGCTAATAACTAGTTTTAAAAATATTACTACAGTTGAACTTAGTGTAATGGGACATAAAATATTAGCCAAAATAATGCTTATTTTATCAATACTGAATTTGAAAATTATTTACAAATAATTTTATTTCAAGGATATTTTATCAAATGTTTTGAAAAGTTACTAGCTTATTAACCCTTTGAGCCCGCCAGGCCGGTAAACCGGCTTCAACTTTAGGCATATATGTCCGAAAAGCCGGTTTTCCGGCCAGATGATCTAGCGTCATATTTCTAGCTGCCTGTATACCGTCTAATTAAATATTATTAGCGGAAGACTGACTAAAACTGCGCATATGTCTTTGAGTGCGGGATTATGATTTTAAATTTGATTTTTAGGAAAAGTGAAAGTATTTTCATTTCGTAGCAATGCCGCCGAAACGATAAACTGAGCCACAGCCGTCGACTTCATCACAAAAAGTTGGTGCAAAAGATGAAGCAAAAGACCGAAATATGAACAAAAGAAGTAGAATGACTGCATCTCAGGCAATACAACTACTTATTGATTCTGTTGAAGAAGATAATATTCCTGGTCTATATTGTGATGATAGTGACGTTGAATTTGAGACTGATAACAGTGACATTGAAATTGACAGTGACAATGAAACTGTTCAAGTACGTTCTGATGCATGTGGTGCCAAGGACAAAGACTTTCTGAAACGAAAAAAAAAAGGTTTACTGGTGCAAAACATGCGAAGTTTTTCTTTGCATCAGGTCCGGCAGTGATAACTGTTTTGAAAGTTATCACACAATAGTGGACTTCAGGCGATAAACTAGTATGGCCAGATATCAATAATAACAAAACAATTACCAAACATAAATTGGTTTCTTCGATGTTTTATCAAAACAATAATTCTGTGTTTGTGTTTATATACATTGTTCTGTTGTAAAAATTGTAAAAAAAATAAAGAATTTCAGAATCTTGCTGCATTGTTGTTTGATCCTGAGTCTGGATACCAAATTTTGTCTGATTATCTCAAACGGTTCAAAAGTTATAGGCAAAGTTAGAAGCTGATAAGTGAAAATTGGTTTGGGCCTGGGAGCTCAGGAGATAGGAGAAATTAGGCCAGGGAGGCCAGGGCTCAAAGGGTTAATACTTTAAATTGTTTCGTTATGGAAATATCAATGCTTTTGACTTTTATTAAAAAGATGTTTAAATTGGTAATTGAAAAATGTTATTTAGATTTTTGAAACTTCTAACATAAGACATTCTCATGGGAACTTTTTTTTTTGAAAACACTCAGTTAATTTGTGACACCAATTAAAAATGTTAATACTTTAAATTGTTTCGTTATGGAAATATCAAATGCTTTTGACTTTTATTAAAAAGATGTTTAAATTGGTAATTGAAAAATGTTATTTAGATTTTTGAAACTTCTAACATAAGACATTGTCATGGGAACTTTTTTTTTTAAAACACTCAGTTAATTTGTGACACCAATTAAAAATGTTATTTTAAATTTACTATCCTGGAATGTCATTTTAAATCTTGAAAGTTTTAACATCATAAATATTCTGTAACATGTAATTAATGTAAAAATTTTTGAAATTTTAAAACTGATGGTAGTCATGGTAACTGAATTCTCTGATGTTTTTTTTTTGCTCAGGTGAGGGGTTAAGCGGGATGATCCCTGCGCTGATTGCCCTGGGTCAAGGCGCAGGGGACATAACCTGTGTCAACGTCAGCTCCCAGGTCAATGAAACCTACCCAAACGGAACTGACTACAACAAGACGGTCTACAACGTTTACCCTCAGTACGTGGAACCCAATTTTTCTGTCCAAGTGTTTTTCCTCATACTGTCTGGAGTCATAGCATTCTCCGCGGTCTCGTTCATTCTGCTGAATTTTTGGGGGTACTGTCGATCTGAAATGGTGGATTACTCATTAGACGAGGTAACAAGAGTGGTGCCCGACGCAAGTAAGTCTAGTCTTTCTTACGGTGCTTTGGATGATTGCACGGATAAACATAATATGTATAGTGAAGACACAAAAAACCAGAATACGTATTTAAAAGACAATGGACATATCGGTCCGTATGACATAGATCAACAAGATGAATTTCATATAAAGGATGAAGGTCATGTAGGTCAGTATAATGAAGGTCGACCTGAAGAAGAAAAGACAGACCCCAGCTTTAAGTCCAGACCAGGTTCACAAACCCTCTCAGACGCTACGAATACTGAATCTTCAACCACGGATAAAAACAACTCAATCCAAACCAAAGTTCTTGAAACTCCCCAAACAATATTCATGTGGAAATTCTTCGCACTCCTCTTCCTCCTCATAGTGATTAACATGACACTGACGACGTTTTTACCCACAATTCAAATCTACTCTGTGTTGCCGTACGGGCTGGAGTACTATCACCTGACAACCACCTTGACCCAGATCGCCAACCCCGTAGCCTGTTTCTTTGCTCTGTTCTTCATGGCTGACCATATGTTTATTATACTGCTGGCATCCGTGCTTGGAGAAGTGGGCGTCGGCTACATTATTTACCTGGCTGCACAGAGCCCGGCACCGCTGATGTATAACCAGTCTCAGGGGGGACAACTGGCAGTAAGTAAAAGTTTATTGTTTTCTTTTACCATATTTACAAAATTGTGTCTAATAGCTAGGCACAAAAAGTTTTTAAAAAAATTCACAACGCAATTTTATCTTTCTGTCTATTTTAAATCTTCACTCATGTTTTACAAATAAAACCCGCTAAATTATACTCACGTGTTTCACTAGTTGCAGTTGTAGTTGCATTTATAGATGATAACAACAACCCTATCATCAGTTGTATCTAGCTGAAGAGTAGAGAAACTAAATCTGCTTAATACTTCTTGCTGTTTACTAAACATGACGCTAATTTACAAAATTTATATATTTTATTGTAAATGTTATGTCTTTAAATTAAAAACAACACACTTATTCAGAGAGGTTGGTCAATGGTCTCAATGACAAAACAATTCTTGAGTTCCCGTAGAATGCCACTTACACCTCCAAACTCTAATGGGTACCTAAACCAAGTCAGGTCAAGTAAAATAAATAGGTTTAGTGCTGACTACACTATCCCTTCTTTAGCTGAAGTCACTGAAGTAGATAAACTCTACTTCATTTATGAATCATTGGGTCTGAGTGAGAAAATATTCATTACCAAGTCATACAGTTTACAATTGCTCAGAAATCAACTTTTCATGCTTTTGTATTCTCATCTGATTGTTTTTCACAGAATAAAAAACTGATTGCTAATTGTTAAATTAGAAACAGATCATTCAGTTTACTAAACTATCGTAAAGACTCTGAAATGATGTCCACTAATAAGTTTCTTTCTTGGTATAATTTCAGGTAGCCTCAGAAATTATGTCCGCTAATTTTATATGTTCTCGCTATATTTTCAGGTTGTTTCTGGAATGATTTCAACTAATAAGAATCTTTCTTGCTATATTTTCAGGTAGTCTTTGAGCAGATGTCTGCTAATTTTATGTTCTTGCTATATTTTCAGGTAGCCATCTGGGTAGCACTCACCCTCCTGCTCACCTATGCTAAAGTTTGTATTGCAACAAGACTGCGCAAACATGGGCGCAGCGCTCTCATTTGGGCTGGCGTGGCAACACAAGTAGGGACCCTAATTGGAGCCATAGTTGGCTTCGTCCTCACTAGCGAGTATCATATTTTTGCTGATGCACCGTACTGTTGATTCATAGTACTGTTGATACATTGTTCTGGTTATGCGCCTTTCTGTCAAAACACCATACTGCTGATACACTGTATTGTTTATGCATCATACTGTTGATGCACCATACTGTTTATAAACCATACTGTTCATGTTAATAATAACACAAACTGCTGATGCGCTGTACTAATAATAATAGCCTACGGTTAATCAATGATTCCACTAATGTGAGAGACAGCCTAGTGTTTGTAAACTGGCTATAAAGTTATTTTTTTAAATACAGCACCTACCACACTAAACATATTTAGCACACACATACTTGGTTCCCACACTATACATATTTAGTAACCCACACAGTTGGATCCTACACTAAACTAGCATACACTTGGCTCCCACACTTTATTTATTTAGCGCACACACTTGTTCCCCTAAAGGGAATGTTGATATTGATGCCCAGTATTGACAACGCCCCATACTAAAGAAACCGTGATACCCTACCATTTACAATGTGCCATTATGATGATACCTATCTGCCTCTGATGATTTCAGTGCAGACCATTTTCCCACAGCATTAAAAAAAAAAAAAATTTCATAATTTTTTAGAAAGTAATTAATTGATGAATTTTCTGCTTGTGTTACATTCCATGATTGTTACATTTAGTTTTCAATCAGTGAAGAAATTATTTATTCTTTTTTTCATATTTAAACACTCTGGAAGAATTATTTTGTTATCTTATTTCAAAACCAAAACAAATTGATATTATGTTATTTTTACAAACTCTTGTACATTTTATTCATCCGTGAACTATTTACAATGATATATTGAACAAATAATTATATATTGAATATTATTATGATAAAAATACTTTTTAGATTGAAGTGTTGTTGTTTTTCTAACTATATTTTTAAGCTTAAATTTTTTCTTATGTGTAAATTATTTATTTTTAGATTTAATTTAAAATTTGTACTAGCTTTGAAAGGTTACATTTATTTTCTTCATTTAGTTTCAGTATTTTTATACAGTTGTAACTCTATCATCAAGTTAATATATTTAGTTATGTGTTTAAAATAATTTTTCTCAATCTGTGTTAATTTGATTTGATTTTGATGTACTGTGTCCGCAAAAGTTTGCTGATCCAATAGTAAAACAAAATGTCATTTATTAAAAAATATAGGCCTATGGTTTATTTGGTTCAAGTTTTCTACTTTATATCTGGCAATGTCTGTGGTTACTGCTTTAACCCCCTTAAATTGTAAAATTGAATTAGTAGATATTACAGCACAAAAGACTGAAGTGAAATAACATTATTTTAAATGGACTCTTAACATAAGTTACAATAATTTTAACACAAAATATTTTTAATTTTATGATACTATTTTTTTTTTTTTAATTTCTTCACTTGCATTTGGTTTTTATGCTTATTTTTAAAGTGCTACTTTTTAATGCTTTAAATTGTATGCATCATTTGCCTAATCATATGTTTTGTTAATGAACAACTTGTGTAACCAGAGGAACAATTTATGTACAAAGAATACAATTTTTAACTTGTCACCTGTGGGTCTTTAACATTTTAGGTACTTTTGGATTTTCTTTAAAATTCTCAATAAATTAACATACAAAAACAGAATTATTTATGTGTATTTTTCAACAGGATTGACCTACTCACTTGTGTGCACACATACACACATATATATAGGCCTATATATCTATATCTATATATATATATATATATATATATATATATATATATATATATGTAACTAGGGTAGGCCTAACTACTAGTTACAATCTGATGCAACTGATAACGAACGATAAGCCGCGACGCAGTATTACAGTCTGATGCAACTGATAGCAGGTGGTTTGTTAAATCGGACTGATAACAATCTCAAAGCCAACGCGTGCTATTTTGGGAAACGGTACGAGGGGATTCAGACGGCCTGTCAACTTTGAGTGATAGGATGCAGATGTTTTATTAATCGGGCTGTACGTTAGAACTGCGCAACTAGTAGTCGGAGACATCGATTACAAATATCGATTACGGATGAATACGAGTACGAATACGAGTACGAATACAAGGGATAAATAGGAGGGGACGGCGGAGCTCGCTCTCTTTCGATCGCTCGCTTTGGATCAGTCAGTCTGTGTGACAGTTGGTTATAGAACGGGTTAGCCGTCTTGGGTTAAGAAGGACGATAGACATGTGGATTCAGTTATATGAAGCCTAGTGAGGACTGTTAGGGGTCAGTTGATTCAGACTATTATTGTGAAGCATTCCTGTTGATTCATTGTGTTATTTTGAAGCATTTCTTGATTCATGTAATAAAAGGATCAATAGCGAACCTGCATCTTCGAGTATTTCTACTGTAGTCGATGTTGTGTAGAATGAGTGGTTAAACTCGTTACATTTGGCACTACAGGCAAATAATCTCGTAACATGTGGCGTTGCGAGCAGGGTAACTGTTCGCTCGTTACAATTGGCGTCGTCGGACAGGATGAATTCAACTAGACTTGCCGTTTGAGGCACCCATAGTCAACCTTGTGCATAACTGTGTTTTGTGTGTGTGTGAATTCGGACATTCAGGAACTGTGAAAATTGAGGAACGAGAAAAAATTTTCATACACACACGGTAAGAAAGAACTCTTTTTTTGTTACTTACGGAATAAAATGTCTACTCTGGACGAGAAGCAGACCCATATAGTGGTCCTACCCAGAGAGTCCCACATTAACAAATTTTACGGGGACGGTGATCCAACTTTAACCAACAGGTTCAGTGAGGAGGTCAAAGCGGCCTGGGCCTCGAGAGGCATGTCACCAGAGGAAAGATTAAGACTGCTGATGGGCAGTATAGGAGAGACGGTTAGGGCAGAGGTCAAATGCCACGATAAAACCATCCAATCAGATCCAGATAAGGTGCTAGATCTGATTATGGAGACCTTTGGGGAGAGACGGTCGGGATCGCAACTGCTGTCAGGGTTCGTAGGCTTAAGGCAGAGAATGGCGGAGAGTGTGATGGAGTACTCACACCGGATGAACAGGGCCTTTGATTCGGTAAAGGGCAAAACACCTGACATCGATGTGCGCCTACTGAGGGACAATTTCATCGAGGGGCTAGCAACCCCGATCTTAAGGAGAGAGTTGAAAGAGGAGGTCCACAAAGACCCGCAGTTGACCTTCCTTCAGGTCAGGAACTCAGCGATCCGCAGGTCCGAGGATGAGGACCAATCGAACTGTTCGGTGGACAAAGTCTCTGTGCCGGAACAGAAACAATCCCCACCCACAGGGGCCGACACGATGGAGACCATGATGGCTCAACTGTTGGCCCACCTAGATAAGGTTGACCAACGTTTGGAGAGGTTAGAAAGCAGGTCAACAGCTGAGAATCAGGAAAAGAACGGGACAAAACAGAGACAGGTTGGACGGCCGCGTCCTGCCAAGCCATTACTCCAATGGACGGCCGACGGTCGACCAATTTGCTTGTCCTGTTCACAACCCGGACATATGGCACGGTACTGTCAGGGAAACGGTCGTCCTCTGTAAGGCAGGGTCAGGCTACAGAGGGGCGAGGTTATGGCCCAAGAAACAAAATGATGGGAGTCTGTCCAGAAATGGTGATTACGATTGGGGACATCGCGGTGAAGGCAATTGTGGATACAGGCTCCCAGGTGACGACAATTACGGAAAATTTTTACACCAAATGGATGAAAGGAAAAGACCATAGGTTGAGGTCTGACACATGCATGCGCCTAACGGCAGCTAATGGACTAACCATTCCATACTGTGGTTATTTTCTGGCAGATGTCGTGGTGTCGGGACATAGGTTGAAGCAGGTTGGGGTGTTCGTTACGAAACACAACCTAGAGACAAATGTGTCAAATATACCTTGCCTATTGGGCATGAATATTCTTGGCCAGTTGCCAGAATTTCTTACAAATATTGTCGGATCGACCACACCAGGTCGGGGATCCAAGTTGGCCAGGTTTGCCAAGACCAGAGGAAGGACAGCAGTCCCGGCAAACACGGTCAAGGCAATCACATTACAAATTGGTGATAGAAGCGTGAATGGTGATGTGATGATAGAACCATGTGGCGCCGCACTGAGGGCAGGCGTCGTGTTACTGCGGACATACACATCAGCGGAAAACGGACTAGTTCAAGGGTTGGTAGCAAATGTTTTGGATGAGGAAATTTTTATACCGCCTAACACTCTGGTAGGAGTACCACAGAACGTCGAGGTACAAAGGTCGGCACAGTACATCGAACTGATCAATACCAGCAGTAATGAAGTAACAATTAGGTCGGTCAATGTGACGGCCGAGGTGAAGAAAGAGGATGGCCGATCATATACATTCCCGGAAACTGAGGACCCAAAACTAAATGAATTGCTGAATAAATACAGTGATATATTTGCCTCGTATGAGGGTGATTTGGGGTACACGGAAGTAATCAAACACCAGATACCCTTACTACAAGACAAGCCGGTGGCGCAACCCTACCGAAGATTACCACCAAGTCACTACTCGGCGGTGAAAGCACACCTGAATGATCTACTAAAAAAGGGAATTATTACAACCAGTACAAGCCCGTATGCGGTACCGATAGTAGTGGTAAAAAAGAAGTCAGGGGAGATAAGACTGTGTTGTGATTACCGGAAATTGAACAATATCACAAGAAGGGATGCATTCCCCTTGCCTCGTATTGATGAATGTCTTGATGCGTTGGGGGGAGCAAGATTTTTTTCTACCTTGGATTTGGCTAGCGGCTACCACCAAGTGGCCATGCACCCCAACGATCAACATAAAACTGCATTTATTTCTCCACTGGGACTGTACGAGTGGACCCGTATGCCGTTTGGTCTAACTAATGCACCTGCTACATTCCAGCGAGTAATGCAGAGTGCTATGAGTGACTTTCTATTTCAAATAATGTTGGTGTACTTGGATGATATTCTAGTTTACTCAAAAACTTGGGAGGACCATCTAAAAAGATTAGAACAAGTGTTTCTCCGTCTTAGGGAGATAGGAGTAAAGCTGAACCCAGACAAATGCTGCTTTGGTCTGAAATCGGTACATTTTTTGGGTTATGTGATTTCGTCGGATGGCTTCGCCACTGACCCAGATAAAATTGCAGCTGTTAAAGAATGGAAACAACCAACAACTACGGTAGAGGTCAGGTCATTCTTGGGTTTTGCTTCCTATTATAGAAAATTTGTACCTGGTTTTGCAAAAATTGCCGCACCATTGCATGACTTGGTAAACAAAATGACAAAGAAACACAGTAAGGAGAAAAAGAAAGGTAAAACACACCTGATAGGTGAATTATGGACTGATGAATGCCTGAACTCGTTTAAGCTCTTGAAAAAGGCTTTGACAGAGGCGCCGATATTGGGATACGCGGACTTTGACAAACCATTTCGGTTAGAAATCGACGCCAGCTCTAAAGGTCTGGGAGCTGTGCTATCACAACAACAAAAGCAAGGTTTCAGGGTTATTGCGTATGCCAGTCGAGCTCTGAAGGAATCAGAGAAGAACATGACAAATTACAGCGCCATGAAACTAGA